TATGCATACATCATCATCTTTGCCTCGCTCCCTTTTGTTGGCATATTTTCTTCATTAAAACATTGCCCTGGTTAAATTCAAAGTAAATTAACTTCAAGTGAGCATCCCCATAACTAAATGTACCTGGAAAAAAAAAAAAAAAAAGAAAGTGCTGAGATTACAGGCATGAACCACTGTCCCTGGCCAGTACCAGGACATCTTACTTTGGCTAAGGTAAGTCAAGACATTGCTGAAACTATACAAATGAAAAGTTGGTCAAAGCTAACCATTTTAATCTAAATGTATACCACTCTATAAACCATCAATGTACAGCACTGTTTCAAATTTTAGAAGTTTTACAAATTTCCCAAAGAGCTGAGCAAAGAGTGAGAAAGCATGCAATGAGATAAACCAGCAACCAGATAAACACAAGAAATATGACAATGTTATTTTAAACAATTTCAAACATATGTGATTCTTACCTGATTTCATTTCCAAAAGTGTATTGTTATCAATTTCATGGTTAGCTTTTCCAGGCTGAGGCACTCGTAGTGGTATGATCTGAGGGACATACACTGAACCAGCAGTCATTTTCTCTCCTTATACATAGAAAAAAAATAAATTCCACTGTGCACTTATAGCTGTACACAAAAGTTGAAGAGAAGCACTTAATTTAAATGCAGCAAAACTAGTTCAAACAAAAGAGAATACTGTTAACATGGCACTACAAATATTATTTCCTTTTTAATTGAAATAATATTTACATTTCGGCTGTATTTGCTGTTGAAGTCTTGTATGGGGTTTCGATTATCTAAATATCTCACTTCCGAGAAAGGAGCATGAATCACGAGACGGGGGAAAGAAGTTACTTTAAAAGGGTAAATTAAATGAGTAAGGAAAACAGAGGCTATCATTAATGCTTTTACTTGAGTTCCCTCTAAATCATTCTCGCCTTTTCCTACCTTTGGTGTGTGTCACCTCTCTTGGCTTCAGGGCAAGTCGTCATACAAGGGGAACCAAAGTAACTCTGTGTGTACCACAAAATGTTAGTCAGAGCTAACTTTTTTGGGAAAGCTCCAAGTTCACAGCCTTGCCACTTTCACCAGAGCAGTTCTAGTATTAGTATTTGAAAGCTGCAAAGACACTTTAGAAGGACTGCAGAGTATTAGTTGTTAGTGAAAAGGACGTTTGCAAGAATATAAACAGTGACCAATAAACACAAGCCTCCCATTCCATCTACTGTATTTATAAATCCTGGTATTAATAATTAACTACCAGTATGAAAGCCTTACTAGTCTTTTTGGAGGTGAGGGTGGGGAGGAAGGCCGTCATAATTTTTAATGCACAGAAGGTTTCAGGGAGAAAAAACGCTCTCCTTAACACAGCAACCATTTACACCTCTGTATTGTCTTTTCAAATTTCATTAAGAATCCACAGATTTTGCTCAATTGTAATCTACATATTCATTCCATTTTTATAGTCTACTTCTTGCATTCTCACTGTATGATTTCGTTTTCCATGTACTTATTTATCCATTTGGGGCTGGCCTTTTAGGCTATTTCTAGTTTCTTTTTAGTTTTGTCTGTTGCTGTTTTTTTTTTTTTTTTTTTTTTTTGAGACAGAGTCTCTCTCTGTCGCCCAGGCTGGAGTACAGTGGCCGGATCTCAGCTCACTGCAAGCTCCGCCTCCCGGGTTCACGTCATTCTCCTGCCTCAGCCTCCCGAGTAGCTGGGACTACAGGCGCCCGCCACCACGCCCGGCTAATTTTTTTGTATTTTTAGTATAGACGGGGTTTCACCGTGCTAGCCAGGATGGTCTCGATTTCCTGACCTCGTGATCCGCCCGCCTCGGCTTCCCAAAGTGCTGGGATTACAGGCGTGAGCCACCGTGCCCGGCCGCCTGCTGCAGTTCTAATAATGCTGATCTGAACATCTCTGCAGTTTGAGCTTTGTCACAGACTGTATTTTCAAAAGTGGGGTAACTAATTTAAGGGGTGAACTTAATGCCTCGTTGGATAGTTCCAGATCGAGGGCCAAGAATATAAACTGCAGATACTGACAGCACAGCAATAGCTCCTACAGGAGTGTAGCTGGACTTGAGACTTGCCTATAGTCGCATTTCCATTCAAGTGAAAGGCAGATAAAATAAAAATAGTTGAAAAATTATTTCTAAATAAAAAATATGTAGGAGAGGAGGTAATTCGCGAGCATCAACTAGCAGCTGCCCTTACGAAGCTGGGGTGACCAGTGGGCCCTACGCAAAGGGAATCAAGAAAAAGGCGGATCCGCCAGGCCCAAATGGCAACGTGCAGCAATCCACAGGATCCCCAGACCCCTCAACTCTCCCAAAGTGGACCGTCCCCTCGCAACCCGGATCCGGAACCCCGTTTGGTTGTCCCCGCCCGTCAGGGGCTGCCAAGGACACCTGCATCCTTTCGGCTGGAGTAAGGCAAGCTCTTCCCCTCCTCTAGCCGCCCTCCTCTTCCTCTAACCGGGGGACCCGTGATCGGGACCCCTAATCCATTTCTGCAGTTCCCAACCCAGTCGCCGGCCTCTCACCGCCTCTTGCCTCCTCCTTCGCCGCCGCCCGGGTTACCACAGACGCTGCGAGCCGTGCCCCGCCCACTGGGAGCTGGGCAGATGATTGGCGGCAAGGCAGCTTCTTAGCAACTAGCCCCGCCCCTTCCGCCCCGCAGGGAGCCTGGTACCTGCCTTGAGCTCCTTTCCCAGGGCTTTCCCATAGGCATCTAAGAATATTCCTTTACAGAGTTGCAAAATGCTAAAAGTTGGCTTCCCAACTCAGAATGAAGGAACCAAGCTTGTGCGTCCTATGGGCATTGACATTCTGAAAAACAAGGATAAGAAGCTGTAGCGGCGCCTGTAAGTGGACCGGAGCAGGCGCAACTTGGCCACCTCCCGCCGAAAGGCAAGGAAGGACCGCTGCGACACGAGGAAAAAAGCCCCTCGTTCTCCGCTAAGCGCTATCCTCCACTGGTTCCCAGGGTTCTCCCGCTTGCTACCCGGCCGCTCTGTGCATCTTTCCCCCAGGCGTCAGGAACTGCTCCCTCATGGCGGAGGTGAAGGTGAAGGTGCAGCCGCCCGACGCGGATCCGGTCGAAATAGAAAACAGGTAAACCAAACGGGTAAACCAGTGAGGCTCCGGCTTGGGACTCCATCAGGCGGCCAGCATTTGGGCAGCCGGACCCCTTCACCCGGATCCCTCGGGGGTGGCCGGAGCGGGTGGGGTGAGCACGCGGGAAAACGATTGCGAGGTTCTGGATCCACTTCTTCACTCCCATCCTGGGCGAGCAGAACTCAAGAAGTTCAAAATGGGCTTGACAGCTTGCAACTTTGTGTAGCTGACTGGCTTTGCCCTGATACTTTTGGGGAAGTTGTGATGATGCGTTGCCTTCCTACTGTGACGTGATCAGTGCTTTGAGAGGAGACCCTCGGCTTTCCTTCCCTTTAGAACACTTGTGAATGCTTGTTCTGATCCAGGATCGCTCTTGTCACGAAGGGAACGTCTATGTCAAAACGTTTAGGCGGAGTTAGGGCGCAGTTGGTGATTACGAAGCAACATTAAGTCAGGTAGTTTCAGTGCAGTATTGAACTCAAGACTTTTAGGATACCCAAAGCCTCCGCCAGTTTCATTTTTATTTGTTTATTTGTTTGTTTGTTTTTGAGACGGAGTCTCGCTCTGTCGCCAGGCTGGAGTGCAGTGGCAGGATCTCGGCTCACTGTAAGCTCCGCCTCCCTGCAACGTCCGCCTCCTGGGTTCAAGCGATTCCCCTGCCTCAGCCTCCCGAGTAGCTGGGACTACAGGCGCGCACCACCACGCCCAGCTAATTTTTTGTAGTTTAGTAGAGACGGTGTTTCACCATGTTGTCCAGGGTGATCTCCATCTCCTGACCTCGTGATCCGCCCGCCTCGGCCTTCCAAAGTGCTGGGATTACAGGCGTGAGCCACCACCGCCTTTTATATTTTTTACCGAGGCACTGCCACTCTTAGATTATCACGTGCTTTTAAAAGACCTAACTTTCTCAAACTGTTAGGAATAATACATTTGTTGATGTTGACTAGGTGAAGATTTTGACCTATTTTGGTTGGTAGATATAATTCCCAAAACAGGCCCCATTTTGGTGAATTGTCATAAATTTTGGCTTCCCACCAGAAACGTCTGCATTTGCCTCCTGCTTGCAGATTTATGGCTTAACTTTGTCATACTTATTACACCTGAGAAAATTGAAGTCTCAGCTTTAATATTATTTCTGTGATTTCATTAGACCTTTGCTCTAGTTTAAAGTTATTAGTGAGGAAAAGAAATATTCTTCTTAAATAACAGTAATACTGTAATCATGTATTTAGAAATCATCTTTTTCAGTGTCTAAAATGCTTTGATCCAAAACCATCGCAGAAACCCAGATTGTCTTCCAAATATGAAAAAGGCACAATTTCAAACTATTCTACTTGTGTTTTTACCCCTACTGTCTCTTGAAACAGGTAACCATGAAGGATAACATTAATACCCTTGTTTCTAGGATTATAGAATTATGTCACCAGTTCCCTCATGGAATCACAGACCAAGTAATTCAGAATGAAATGCCTCATATAGAGGCCCAGCAGCGGGCAGTAGCCATCAATAGGTTGTTGTCTATGGTAAGGTGAATCTAGCTATTTTGCATAATTACTGATATGCTGATTATCATCGGTTTTTATTATGTAGTTGTGATGGTTAATTTCATGTCAACTTGACTAAGATACAGGATTCCTAGATATCTAGTTAAACGTTTTATTGGAGTGTCTGTGAGGGTGTTTCTGGAAGAGGTTAGCATTTTGAATTGGTGAACCCAGTAAAGTAGATGTGGGTCCAATGTGGTTGAGCATCATCCAATCCATTCAGGGCCTAAATAGAACAAAGTGGCAGAAGAAGATTGAATTCACTCTTTGAATTCAATCTTGATCTGGGCTATGGATCTTGTGCCCTCAGCACTCCTGGTTCTCAGACCTTCAGACTTGGACTGGCATCTACACCCTGAGCTCTCTGCTCTCAGCCCTTTGATCTCCAACACTAACTTTCCTGGGTCTGCAGCTAGCAGAGGGCAGATTATGGGACTCCTCAGCCTCCATAATCACAGAGCAAATACCTTCTGAGGAATCTTTCAAGAGAGAGATGTATCCTATTGGTTGTGTTTCTCTGGAGAACCCTAATACAGCAGTCATAAAACGAGAAAGTATGTTAGGTTTGACTGATAAGACTCTAAACCAGGAAATACCTCAAACTGCCTGAATTGAAAAAGAAATAATTATGCGTTATAAGACAAATGAAATAAATGTATTATGTTATAACTGTTGTATTATTAATTGCCACTGCCGTACATAGGTCTAGTCTGTTCTCACCTTCTGTTCACTTCCTACTACTGGTGTTGGACCATTTCCTATAAAATATACCACCCCCTTCCAACCCCCGATTTTTCTATGAGTTGTCACAGAGCCCAGTCATCAGGGTTTCATTCTCCACATTGTCACTGAGCATTTCAGGAAGCAAGAATGAGTCCAGCTGAATGAAGAAT